AATACGTATTTTGAATCTTCAAATTGTCTTGAAACTTAAAAGAAAATTGTTCGTCAAAAATTCACTGAAAATCGGTAGCTAAAATTGTTTGTTTAAGTGTTATTTGATTTTCGTGTTAACTTGTAATTTCGTCAGTCACCGGCATCTTTTGTTGCTTCACACAGGAAAAACACACGATACGAAACGTAATGATCGATTTTGTCCTCAGTCTCACGCCATAACAGAAAAAGCTTTTGAACATCTGTAAACTCCGTGCACTTCGCAGTAAGTGATATTTTCAATGAATCTTCGGATTGTTTTCAAGTTCAAGGATTGTGAATTACAATTTTATGAAAAACAAAGGTTGTTCTGTTATTTCAGTGTGAATCCTTGCATGCCTGCCAGTCGCTGGCGCCGCTTTTTGAAACTAAAACGAAAAAAAAACACTCTTTTAAGATTGTCATTGGCTTCTTTTTAACCCCACCACTATTCTTAGCAACAAAGGTCGCCATTTCGTTTGTTTATTGCTCGCCAAAAACTATCAAATGCACTCAAAAGCCTAAAATCGAAAAAACGTTTACAGGAATCGACCAATCGAGCGAGCGAATGCTATTCTCCACATCGTATCTATAACTCGCTCTTGCGCATGCGCGCAATACACGAGTTAAAAAGCAGGTTATTAATACCAGATTATAACAGCAGTGATGAAAGTAATAAAGATGTGGTTAACAAGAAATATGTTGATGCCTGGGCAATTTTCATCCGAAGAAAATCTACCCAGCACGTCTTTCTAAGTGTGGAAAATGCTTGAAAATTGGTCGCTGGGCATAAGCTTGCAAAGGCTCAAAACTGGGCAAATTGTTTGAAATCGCCACTGAAGAAGATCCTGAATCCTTTTTCCTTGGAGAAGTGGTAGACCTGTATGAAGTCCAAAGCGTCTCCACGAAAACACCGTGGATGGCAACCGTTCTTGTCAAAGATGAAAAAGTAGACTTCAAGATTGACAGCGGAGCAGATGTCACTGTTGTTCTATATGGTGCTCTCAACCTTCATCTGTAAACAAAGCTGGAGCCCATCAGTAAAGTGCTAATGGGCCCTTGTAACTAAAAGCCGAACTGTAAGGGAAAAGTGGTAGTTAACCTTGCCTAAATCTCAAATATTGTTAAAGAAACCATCTATGCAGTGAAGAGCTTGGCACGACCACTCCTGGGCAGATCCGCTCCAGTGAAACTTAACCTCATCTGGGTGTGTGAATTGACCAGCGACGATTACAAAGCAAAAGTGGTGCATAGCTACCCCAAGCTGTTCATAGGACTTGGAGTCATGAAAGAGAAATACGCCATTAAGCTAAAGGATGACGCAAAGCCCTTTGCCTTCTCAGTCCCAATGCCACTTTACGACATCACCAAGAGCGAAATCGAAAGAATGTTAAAGAGTGGAGTGATATCGCCTGTAGATAACCCTACGGAGTGGTGTGCCCCAATGGTGGTCACCCCCAGGCCTAATGGCAAAGTGAGAGTGTGCGTGGACTCGACGAAGCTCAATGAATATGTTCAACGTGATATTCACAAAGCTCGATGCAAACTCTGACTTCTGGCCGATCAGGTTGTCCGAAACTTCGAGACATTTCACGACTTTTATTACACCCTGGGGTCGATTCTGCTTCAATGTGCTACCCTATGGCATCAGCTCAGGTTCAGAAAAGTTTCAGAAATGTATTAGCAGAATCCTTGAGGGGCTCAATGGAGCTGAATGTAACATTGATGACGTGCCCGTCCATGCCCCTACCCGAGAGCTACACAACAAAAGATTGGGGCAATTATTGGAGCGGCTCGCCACAGCAGGTGTTACACTAAACATAGAGAAGTGTGTGTTTAGAGCAACAAGAATCAAGTTCCTTGGAAACCAAAATCTCAGCAGATGCATCATCGTTTGGACTAGGAGGAGTACTGTTACAGAGGCAAGATGACCAGACCTGGAGACCTGTGGTGTTTATATCCATGTGGTGTTTATATCACCCCAGAAGAATGCAGATATGCACAAATAGAGAAAGAAGCTCTTGGACTAACCTGGGCCTGTGAGTGATGCAGCGATTACATAGTTGGAAAGTCTATCGTCGCTGAAACAGACCACAAACCTCTGGTACCCCTTCTCACTACACGTACACTGAATGAAGTCCCTCCTAGAATACAGAGGCTAAGAATGCGTCTTATGTGCTTCCACTTGAAAGAGGTGAACCATGTGCCTGGAAAATAACTGTACATCGCAGATGCTCTATCCAGAATGCAACCTAATAACTCACACAAAGAGGCAACTATTCCCGATGAAGAAACGAACATCTATGTCAACAGCGTACTGGACTCCTTACCAGTGTCAGATGTCAAGCTGGTGGAAATAAAGGAGGCCCAAGATGAAGACCCTGTCTGTCGAAAGATAAAGAGTTACTGCATGGAAGGCTGGCCAGACAAATTTCACCTTCACGATGCAATTACGCCTTAGTGGTCAGTTAGAGGAGACCTCACTGTAGTCTATAGATTATTAATGAAGTCATCAAGAATTGTTGTGCCATCAGCTATGAGGCTGCAAGTGCTGGACAAAGTGCATGAAGGACACCAACCAAACCAAGTGCAGAGAACGTGCAAAGGCTTCTATTTGGTGGCCTGGTCTCAGCCGGTTCAAGACATGGTCGAGAATTGCAAGGTTTGTGCTAAATACCGACAACTGCAAGCCGAGCCACTAATGCCAACCTCCTTCCCTGAACGCCCTTGGCAGATGATTGCAACAGATCTGTTTGAGCTCGACAAGCTGAATTACCTGATAGTGGTGGACTACTTCTCGCGCTATATCAAAGTAGCTGCCATGCAAAAGACCAGCAAGTCTCTTGAAGTCATTGAAGTCATTGAAAGCAATGTTCACAAGACATGGAATCCCAGAAGAAGCGACAATGGCCCACAGTACCCTTCAGCAGAATTCACTAACTTTGCAAAAGAGTGGGGTTTCAAGCATATCACGAGCAGTCCTTGCTTCCCACAATCCATTAGTGAGGTGGAGCGTGCGGTAGAAACTATTAAATCACTGCTAAAAAAAGAGAAAGACCCATCCAAGGGACTTTCAGGATATAGATCTACCCACATGCTTGTGGTTATTCACCATCAGAACTACTAATGGGACGGAAACTCAGAAACACCATCCCAACCTTCCACGCAAATCCTAATCCGTGTTAACCAGACATGGGTAAGCTACGTGAAAGAGAAGCAGAGAGCAAAGAAAAGCAAAGGCTTAGCTTCAACCAACGGCATAATGCTGTCCCACTGAAAGCCTTGCAACCTGGTACACCTGTACTCATCAAGGAATCAGTAACCACTAATACCATAACCCCATCAGCAGAAACACCCAGATCCTATCTGATTGAGACGGAGAAAGGCGTAGTGAGACGAAACCGTTCTCATATCAACCCAATCCCTAATGACAAGCTGACCTCACCCAGCACTACAGAAAAGACAGCTACACTCTGTGTTAGCAAGCGACAATCTCAGCATAAGGCTTTAACTCCTTTGAAGCCAATCGCACCTCCCTGTCTCTCATCGAGAGACTCGTCAGACCCTCTCTCAAGTTATGGAAGAGCCTTGGACTTTGCTGAACATTTGTACACTAATGACAGAGACTGATCTCAGTTACCTTGAACCTTATTTGTAGTTCATTGCATGCAAGCTTATTATAGTTCAACAAGATTCTATGTTACTTCGTGTTAGATTTGTAAGTTGTTTCCTATCCTCAAAAAGGGAGATGTTGCGTTATTGAACTTTGTACTTTCAGTTTCTGTCACGCGCATATTGGGGCATGCACAGTGATAATAGTTAAAGGATTAAACATGGTTGTTGACTGAACACGTTGTAGTCTTCTTGCTTAGTTTTGATATAATTAATTCGGTATAGATAATGGCACTCTGGATGGTGGGCTTTATGCTCAATTAATGATAAAAAATGTCTGATTAATATAATCATATGATATAGAATCTTCTAAAAGAGGAGTGTTACAAATTTCAATCATATAGATAAATCATTAAACAAAAACGCAATAAATAAAATAACATCGTTATACAAATACTAACAAGTAGTTTTCATTTTTTAAAAAATCTTATAAGAGGTTCAAGAAACTAAATCTGTTATTCAATTTGTCATTATCTTGTTTGACGTTAGGTGGTACACTATATTTGGAAGGGTAACAACGAATTAATTCATCCAATTCATCATGAATTATTCGATTGCATTACATTATATTGAAATATTACATAGATGTTATATGTTGAAATATTATCAAGGGTTATCCTTGGTTTCCTTAAATAATATTTCATATCATTTAATTCCTTTTCCACATCTAAGATATTGCCCTCATCAAAATATCTTAAATATTTTGCAAAAATATGTATATTATCTTGGTCATCAAAGTAATAGGCATCATCATCCAGTTCACTATTATCTATAAAGCTACTATCACAACTATCACTACTATTAGAGTAGCTAAATTGAATCCAGTAGTTAAATTGGTCAAAGTAGGTTAACTGATTCAACTGGTTAAATAGTCGAACAAGGGAACACAGTTAAAACTGCACAAATTGAAAAACTGTATTCATTACTTCGAGTAGTTTTAATGGTCAAACTAGCTGAGGGTTGGGGTTTAGTTGGACAAAAAGCATAACTAGGTTAAATAATGAAACTGGTTAAAAAGTCAAACTAGCTAAAACAGTTAAACTAAAAAAAAAAATGCAAAAAGCGGAAACAGTTAAACTGCACAAAATGCAAATGATAGCTGAGTTGGCTCAATTGGCTCATATGGACAAAATCCACCAACAAGCTAAACTGAGTCAAATGGTTTAAACGGTCAAACAAGCGAAAACAGCAAATGCGATAAATTGGATAAACTAGCTCAATTACCTTGTTTCCTGCTGAATTAGCCTCCTTTTGGCTGTATCGCACCAAGAAAAGGTGTTTCTCTTCTTTTTTTTGGCCTGATTGCAGCTTTATCTCACCTAAAACAACGTTCCTGTGAATTTTGTGGCCAAACTACGCTTTTCTAAACTTTTTGGCACTGGAACATGTATTCGTTTCATTGCAACTAAATTGGGCTGTTTTGGGCTTTATCTCAAGAGAATAAACATTTTATTTGTGGCTTAATTACGCTGTTTTATCTTTAAGACAAAGAAAAGATGTATTTCAGAGTGTTCGTTAAAGCACCGAAAACGTGTTTTCGTTTGGTTGGTTACAATTAAACTGGGCTGTTTTGAGCTTTATTTAATTAAAAACAACGGTTTGGCTTTTTGTTGCTAAATTATCCTGTTTCTAGCTTCATCGCACAAAAATGTTTTATCGCACTGAAAAAAGGTTTTTCGCTTATTGGCAGCTACTCATGCTAGTTGTCGCGTTTCTCAGCTCCGATGGTGTTGCGAGTTAGAACAATGCCGCTTCAACCAAGTGCCATGATGACAACACTTGATTTATTGATAAACTTGCTTTCATTAACACTTGGTGGAAAACTATCATTACAATAACAGAAATAAAATCAGGATAGCTGAAAAGATCAAAAATATGAACTGACACTGTCCAACTCCAGCTCCAAGAATGAGATGAAATTGTGTTTACAGAAATGACTCCCAACTCCTAACTTAGACTCCAACAAATATGTTATTTGATAGCTAAAGGGGGCGTAAGCCCTGAATTACATAAATAGGCTATTACCAATTAACTTGACAAGTCCGAAAATGATAAGCGTGACTCACTTCACACTCCTCGCCCAAGGATCTTGTGGAACCTTGAAGGAGTGGTATCTGTAACAAATGTCACCAACTCTTGTCCTAGTGCACGGAAACGTCCTCCATGGGAACCAACCGCACTGGAGTACTGATTGGTCGCTCGTACATCTTCCTCTGCCCGTCTTTGGAGGTCAGTACCGTCACCTTCCTCACTCTTCCGTCTTTGCCCCTGACTGCATCATCAACTTTGCCCAGGGGCCAGTTTTTTCGGTGGGCTTGCTCATCTTTCACCAGGACCAAGTCTCCAACTACTAGATTTTGCTGTTCTTTCTTCCACCTCATCTGCACTTGGAGATTTTGGATGTACTCTCGTCTCCGCCTGGTCCAAAATTGACTGGCTAGGAATTGCAACTTTCTCTATCTCTGTCGAGCATAGACATCCTGTGTTGTGAAGGTACTTGGAAGTGGTCCAAGCGTATATGTCTTTTTGCGTAAGCAGCATAGCTGGTGTCAACAGTAAAGGTTCCTCAATATCGGATGGTATCGCCGTGATCGAGCGGGTATTGACTATCACCATGACTTCTGACACCAGGATAACCAGAAACTCGTGGGTTAGTTGTCGCGCCCCTAACTCCAAGAGCATAGTGTCTAGGATGCTTTGGATGGTACCAATCTGACGTTCCCATACACTGCCGAAATGAGACGCGTGGGGCGGGTTGAAGATCCACTCACAATTCTGTTCCGACAGGTAATTCGCAACCGACTCACTATCCATCTCCGCGAGGGCTTCATCAATCTCAGACTTTGCACCGACGAAGTTGCTGCCTCGGTCACATCTAAGGTAAGCTAAGCACGTAAAAACTAATCCCCAGCACTTAAAGTTCGCCACCCCTCCTCTCGTTCTCCTTGTCTGCACCATCCATGAACCGAACACGTCGAAACCTGCGTTCGTGGAGGGTGGTTCAGCCTCTTTCCTGTAAAGTGGTAGGTCTGCCATCTGCTGTACTAATATTGAACTTCATAGCTTTCTGTATGTCACACAGGAACTAATTAGCTTTGCCACAGCCACTTGATCACCTATGAGCCAATACCCAGCGTTCCGTAGGGCTCTGTAAGTGATCTAGCGTCCCTGGTGGTGTACTTCTTGATGGTAATGACTCAACAGCGGCCTTGATGCAGGGTGGCCTTTTGGTAGAAGTACCGGGTGCATTTCTTGGGAACTCAGGTTAGACCAATGAAGATGTCCACCAACCCTCAAGATTCCAGAATCGTCGACGTAGGGGGTCTAGTTGATACTGGTGTGACTTCTATAATTTTCTCTTTGTCTCTTTGACACCGTTATGACCATCATCGTTTTGGGGACTGACGCTTGCGATGGCTGCAACTTCTTCCTCAAAGCCTTCATTCTGGAGGGCCTTAATAATAATATTGGTAGCCTGAGTAAGCACTTCAGGGGTAGGCGTTGTTCGGATTGTGTTTTGAGGTTTTGTCCGTTGCATTGCTCATCTTAAAGGACCTTGCCCTAGTTATAAGGGTGGCGATGGCACATCTGAAGGACAGCCACGAGGAAAACCTCTTGAAAACTTCCTCATGTAGTGCACCTCGATTGTGTGGCTTGGCTCTAGTGACGCAAACCTTCATCTCCTTGTGCAACTCTGGATCGTCTGCACTGAGGGTCTCTTGATCTATGTCTACTTCGGGAGTGCTAGATGCAGTGTTCCCTAAGAACTAGGGGCCACTAAGCCAATCCAACTCAGTGAGATCTTTTGCCTTTAGGCCTTGAGTAGCCAGATTGGCAGGATTGCTGGAACTCTCCACGTACCCTTATTAGTCAGGTGTCAAGATTTTTCCGATAAACTCCATGCAATTTGCCACGTAGACATAGAATCTTCTGCTCTTGTTACGGATGTAACCTAGGACGACCCTTGAATCCATGTTGAAGGTCACTTCAGATGCCATCATGTTTAACTCCTTCAATATTTTCTCAACGGCTTGCACTGCCAATACAGCTCTGCAGAGTTTGAGTCGAAGGATGCTGACAGGATTTATTGGAGCTACTTTAACCTGACCAAAGACAAGTGATATGGCTACTTCATTATTGGCATCAAACAGGCAGAGGTAGACTGCCGCTCCAATTGCTCATTGGCTGGCACCTGGAAAGGCATGGATCTCGGCCCTGGTGACTGATCCAAATTCCCTGGGATGGTAGCAATGACACGTAGAGGCTTTCTCCAAATCCAATAGTGCATTCGTCCGGCACTGCCATCTGTCTGCGTATTTTTCCCGAAAAGGGTCATCCCACCCAATAAGCTCAGTGCTAGCTGTCTTCTCGCTCATGGCGACTAGTTCTTGTAGTAGTAGTCTGCCCTATAGCAAGACTGGTGCAGTACGACCCAAGGGGTCACATACTGAGTTC